TTTTTATTTTTATGTCCTACAGAGCAGGGGTGGGTTCCGGCTGTTACTACTGTCGGTTCGCTCAGGGATGCGCTGTGGGCGCATATGCAGTACTATAAAAAAAGCTTCGGTACATGTGCAGAAGCAAAAAACAAGATGGCACCGCCGATGGCACGGCCGATAGAACCAGTTCAGGAGCATGGCCGGCCGAGTTACTACCTACTCAACTGAACCAATCCAAAACGGTAGGAACCCACCTCTGCTTCAGAGTTTTTAATCTTAAAGCTTCCTTTCTCCACCCAAACATTAAGTTCTCCCCTCCTCTTTTCAATCCTTTCTGCCTATTTATCTCTGTTAACACTTTGGCTGATTTACAGCTTACTTCCTAAACATTAATTACTTCATTTTTCAAATTGTTATTATGGCTTCTTTCTCTCCTCCCTCCCATCTCTGGTTTTGCTTCTTCCAGATTCTCCTTCCAAGTGTCAGATTACTTGAAAAAGAATTGAATTGAACTGAACTGAACTTTATTTGGCCAAGTATGATTTGACACACAAGGAATTTATCTGTGGCACAGTTGTTCTCGGTGTACATGCAAAGCAAAAGTAATAATATAATACCAATAAAAGGTATAGTAAGGAAGATAAGGATAATAATGCTGCAGCCATACAACATGGGTCAATGTACATAGAGATTAGACAGTATTGTGGACATTAGATGTTCAGCAGTGGGGACACGAGGGAAGAAACTGTCCCTGTGCCTAATTGTTTTGGCATGCAATGCCTTACACCAATGATGGCTAACCATTTTGTCATTGTGTGCCAAAAACGCATGCACACGTGTGACAGCGCGAGCATGTGTGCCCACAACCATAATGCAATACACATGTGATACTGCCCCAGTGCGGCCTGCCCCTGCACAAGTGCATGCAACCCCCCCTGCTTCCCATGCATATACATGCATCTCCCGCATGTGCACTGCTCCCTGCGCAATTCGTTTTGGGCCTAGCAGGCCTCCCTGTAGCCTCCTGGGACCCAAAACAGTGCACAAGGGGGCTTTCCCCCCACCCGTGCATGCATGACCCCCCTCTCTCCCATGCATGTGCATGCATCTCCTGCATGCGACCTGCCCCCCCCCCATGAATGCATGGTGAGACCTGAAAAAGCAGCTTGCGTTCCTGTAGAGAGGGCTTCACGTGCCATCTGTGGCATGCCATAGGTTCACCATCACGGCCCTATACTGTAGCATCACTCTGAGGGGAGGAGTTGAAAAAGTTTATGGCGAGGATGTTAGGGATCTGCAGATACCTTCTCAACCCTCCTTCTGACTTGCACTGTATACAGGTCTTCTATGGAAGGCAGACCGGCGTGCCTAACGTCCCTGTCCTACTGTCTCCATTTATTTGTACCCTTTTCCTGTGTTCTTATTCATGTTTATTCTTATTCCTGTTATCTTGTACATGAGTGACAAACTAAATAAATAAATAAAAATAAATTGATATTTCTGCAGTCTTTACTATTTTGGAATCTTAACTGTCCTGTTTGGTTGCTGTACCAAACCAGGCAGTTATAGAAGTACAAATGTGTCAAATAAAGTCACAAGATCTGAACTACCCTATTAATTTACCAGTAATTAGGCAGTGCATTTTGGAATTATCAAACCATTTTTCAGGCAGTTACAATAAGCCTTGATGTGACTAGGGCATAGATTACTGTAATAGCCTAAAGTAGTATAAAATGTTTTTGATCATTCTTGCAAGTGCTTCTTTGGTTAACTCTTATGAATTAAAGTCACTACCCTGCATACTTGGTCCTTTGGGAGAAGTGCAACATTGGGGCAATTTTTGGTAAAGCAGTCTATCACTATTTTATATGCATTTTCCTGCATATAAAATAGTGCATACAGCCTCCTTATTGTAAACTGTTCTGAAGCTGCACATATAGGAGATGTCAAATGTCATTTGAAGAGATATGGTATCAGAATAGGGCATGATGGCGAATCTATGGCACATGTGCCAGAAGTGGCACACAGAGTCATTTCTCCTGGCACATGGAGCCATCACCAGTTGCTCTTCCAGGTTCGGGCACAGCAGCCAGCTGGTCTTCATGCACATTGGCGTGCCAGAAAGGAGAAGAGTAGCCACCCGATGTGCATGCGTATGCCAGGAAAATTATCTTTTTTGTTTCCAGTGTGCACATGCATGTTGGCCATTTGGTGATCTGGTTCCTGGCACGCATACCCACACAAAAACCAGTAACAGGAAGAGCAACAGCTGCGTGTGCCAAAAGACGTGGAGAGGGGATCCTGGCCATCACTTCTTAGTGGAGCAGAGCTGTGGTCGGGGCTTCCCTCCCTCCCCGCAGGCTTCTTACGTGGCTCCAGCTCTCCAGCCTGTGGTTCATCTGCGGTCTGAAGTGCCTGGCCCTCTGGGAACCCCAGAAGAGCAGCGGCAGTGGCAGCCACAAGGGGAAGGGCAGGAGCAACCAACTGCAGCCACTCCCACACCAGCCAGAAGTGGCACTGTGACAGTCACTGGGGTCGAGGGGGCATCCGCGGCAAGGACGGGCAAGGGCTTCCCTCCCTCCCTATCAGAGTGGGCTACTTGTGCAGCCCCAGCCCTCCAGCCCATGGCACTGATGTGAATCCAGGCTCTGGAGTGCCTGACCGGCTCAAGTGCCCTAGAAGAGCAGCAGCTGCAGCCACGGGGGGAAGGAGCGACCGGGCAGCCACCAAAGATGCTCCCACACCAGTGAGACAGGCCCTCGGCGGCATCTCAATGCGGATAGCTTGCCTCCCCGCCAGTAGCTCCTCTTCCAGCATCCCAGCTGGAAGAGGCAGCGTAACAGCCGCTGTGGGGAAGAGCCGAAGGGATGGCGGTCACTCATTCTTGCCACTGCCACCCTTCAGCCCTAAGTAGCAGTGGCTGTTGGGTTGCCGCTTCCAGCTGGGATGCTGGAGGAGCAGCTGACGGGGAGGCAAGCTACCTGTATAAAGACGCCACTGAGGGCCTGGCTTGCTGGCATGGGAGCATCTGTGGTGGCTGCCCGGTCGCTCCTGCCCTTCCCCCTGTGGCTGCTGCAGCTGCTGCTTCTCTTCTGGGGCTGCACAGAGCCTAGCCAGCTCTTCTGAGGTGCTGGAGCCAGCCAGGCACTCCAGACCACAGATCCACGTAGTCCACTCGGATGGGGAGGAAACTTGTGCCATCCTTGCCATCGCCGCCCCTTCACCCCCAGCGGCTGTCGCAGTGCTCCTTCTGGGTGGGATGCTGGGGCAGCCAGAAGTAGTGGGGGAGGCAGGCTGGGCGGAGGGGGCCCCTCTAGCAACACCGATTGCAGATGCTTCTTGTGCAGAGGGACTACTGGGACCTGAGGTGGCGGTGGCAGCATGGACATGGGCAGCACACCCAGCAGAGGCAGCAGCATTGTAGGGAATGGAGGATAATGCCCGGGGGGTGTGTGTTGTCCCATAACCCAGGTTGGGAACATGGAACCGGGAAATGGGTCTCCCAGGGCGTTGGCTGGCCAAAGCAGAGCTTTTGCAATGGTGGGAAAGTCTGTGCGCTGGGCTGGGTGGTTGCGAGGCTTGTGGCCCGGTGTGGGCCAGCATGGCCACCCCAAGAGGAGCAGTTTTTCTCTGTTGCCTTCGAAGGCGACAGGGAGCAACGAGAGCAGCTGCTGCGGATTATGTGGAAGGTGCTGGGTCCATTGCCTCCAAAATGGCCATTATGGGCTCCATCTCCCAGGCAGGCTGAGCAAGAGCTCAGGGCCAAGCCCATCGGCCACAGCCATTTCCAAGAGCAGGCTGCTCAGCTCACCCCCAGTGCTGTCCGGGAGAGCAAAGAGCATTGGGAGGCCTCCGGGGGGGGGCAGTGGAGGCTGTTTTCGCCCTCCCCAGGCTCCTAGAAAGCCTCTGGAACCTGGGGAGGGCAGAAAAAGGGTCTATCGCAGGTCAAAAGGGGGGGGGTTGGGTGTGCATGCGTGGTGTGTGCGCGCACTCACATGGCATGGTGGTCATGCGCATAGCATTATGGATGTGGGCACACCTGCACAAGACTCCCTGCGCTGCCCCTGCTTTTGGTACACAATCCAAAAAAGGTTAGCCATCACTAAGATAGGGCATTGTGCAGATATGGCACCTCAACCCAAGCCTCTATATGATTTCCCTAAGTTGTTAATTAGTACAAATAACACATGAGAAAATAGACCCTTACAGCATTCCATTATAGCTAATGATCATGGTGATCATTTCAGCAATAGTCCATAGACACCATCTGCTGAGAGGAATCCTGTAAGGCCATAACTATTAGATGCTCAACAGTTGGTATCAAGAGCCAGTGGACTCTTTACAATCTCATATATTCAATTCAAATAATAAATCTATCCTTTTCTATCTCAAAGTGTGCATGAAGGTAGATTACAATGGTTTAAAACAGCAACCTCCAATATCGTCCTATCTTTAACTGGATTTTCTGCTTCTTGGATGGATTTGCAGGCTTCTTTGATGCAATTCAGCCTTTGAAAGTTATATTTGTAGCTGTGTTTTTACATTTGGAAATAGCAACTAAATCAATTATTTTGAGAGGAATAAAATTATATCAGGCATTGCAGTCTATCCTGCAGACTTCAGTGGAAATGGAACTTAATAAGGAAATGATCTGCAGGCTTCTGTAGATTATTTTTCTACATTTTTAATGTTACTTAATATAAAATAATTGCTTTTATGTAGAAGGGTATAAATATAGGCAGCAGCTTCAAAGCAATTCTTCCAATGTACTAGATTATTCTAGTTGCAGCAGTGTAACAGTACCATTTTCTCCGCTGGCAAAGACAATCAGATATTATCAGTAAAGGATGCTGACTAAAGAAGACTGTGTTACAAGTCATACACATGGTGCTATGTTTCAGGAAGCTTGCCACTATATGAAGTGGTTAACTTGCTCTATTAGAAATCTCCCATAGAGACAGCATAGCATATTATGCTTTGCCATGCTAAATGAACTAAAGGAGGATTACTTCAGGCCTAACTGATTTGCTTGCTCATTGCTGTTTACATAAACTACAGAAAGACTAAAGATTAAAGCCTGGCTTATTGATCTGATGCTCCTATTAATCTCTTATAACAAGAATATACTAATATGCTACATATTCAAATAGCTGTTTGCAAATATTCAAATACCCTTGATTACAGAGAGGGTGAAAACTTAACCTGATTAGAAGGAGGCTAAAACTCTACAAATTTAGAAAAACCTCTTAATATTTTATCCCATTTCTTTTCATCATCTGATTTGAGCCAGAAATATTAAAGTTTTGTTTGCTTTAGCAAACGAAGCAGGAGAATGAGTAAGTGGGCTCCAGTAAGGAACTAGATGGAAACTGAGTGATAGGAATGTCTCCTTTCAAAGAGATGAAGGAGTTTGCTTTTGGCAAACTGCTAATATTAGCTGCACAATAATCTACAAGATAAATTACAATTGGAAATTGGTCTGGATAGTGGCTGACAGTTGCCTAGTTCTGTTTTTTTTTTTAAATCGTAGTATTTTTAAATAGAAAAATAACAGTTTTTTTTTAACTTCAGGCAAATATGCTGGAAATTTCTATAAGTAGTAGGAATGGTTATATGGGAAAAAGAGGCTATTTAATGTTAACAAACGAATAACATTTTATGGATGTACATATGATGCAAAGATAAATGGCATTTATTACTTGTAACAATAAAAAGACATGAGGAAGTAATGTAAAATAAAGTTAAACCAAGCATTTTATCTACATATTAAGGATCAAATGCCCTTGAAAGTTAAAACAAATGATCCTTCACTGAAAGTAACAGTAGGAAAAATACCAGAATATGCATCAGTTGTCAAAAATATCCATGGTATGAGATGGAAGTTCATTTACTGCAGATCTACACCTTCTCAAAACTCTCACTGCAAATGTCCAGAATTCAATTTGAATTCAGAAATGAAGGAAAATTAAGGAGGGCAAATATTTCATAGCCACTGCTTTTTTGCCTTTCCTTCTCAAGGCAACCTATCCCATTGGGGTCAGATATTCAGATTTGTACACACTCTTAAATTTCATTGCTTTGAAGCTACAGATCCAACTGTAGCTCTCTTTCTGTTTCTGCTGCCTCATTAATGCCCACTTAGACAGTGAAAGAAATAAGCTCTGGTTTGCAAATACCAATCATTCCTTTTAGTATACAGCCTTCATAAATCCCAAAATCATGAGCAAAGTGTGTCATGAACTGACCCATGGAGACAGCACACACCAGATTTTGAGTATTAACAATACAGGGATACATGTACATTCTTAGTTCATCAACACATTTACAAACTTGAATAATCTTTTATGGGTGCTTTTAACATTTGTGCTTTTCACATAATTTTCCTAAATAAAAGTTATAGTCTAAACCTGCTCTGGTGCAACAAAAAGTTAAACAATTTTTCATTTGTGCTTACTGTAACAAGATAAAACATTACAATTAAGCAGTAAATTCAAGCTTCCTTGAAAAAGGAATGAAACAACAAGGATATATTTTTAAGCTGTTTCCTTTATTTGGAAATATTTCCATTACTCATTATGAGGTAAACTAAAATTTGCCTTGCTTCACTTAACATACTTAAAACGAATGCTGCTACTATTCAGGGATTCTTTTTTAAAAAGATAATATTCTACTAAAGCAGCTTTTAACTATCCAAGAGAATAACAATCTTCAACTTGCACCCAGTTTAACTAAAATTCTCAATATATAAATGTAAAAATATTCTGAGAATTCTTTGTAATTTTGTGTAAGTCTGCAATTTTGAAGAAAAATGATTATTTTCTTTGGTGGGAGGTACATCAAAGTCTGGCAAAATGCTGTTTTAACTGATTAATAAGTTGCTGAGAGTCGACATGCTCTGGAAAAATTTCTTTGGACTTCTGAGCTTCTATATAACTTCTCTGAATATCTCCAACCTGCAGAAAAGCAAATATACCAAATGACATAGAAACGCTACTAACAGCCCTATATGTTAAGATTTCATCTAATGATTCACTTTTAAAATATTCATATTCTAACATATACAGTAAAAGGCACAATCCCAATTTACTTCAAAAAGTTCATGCCCTATTCATTTTGAACTCTAAGGCACTCTGCATGGGGCTGTCTTTGAACACAGTACAGATGCATGGATTGCTAGGATGAGATTGGAACAAATATTTCAGATGTACAAATTATATAAGACTTCTGCAGTAAAAGTTTAATTCATGAATTTATTGCTTTTCTTTCTCTTTTCCAACCTATTTTCCTTTTTGTCAAATCTTCTAGGTACATCAGATTATTTGTAAACTGATTTAACATATTTCCAGGCAAATTTCGGGACAAAAATACTTAAGATATATAAACTAATAAACATATGAAAAAAATGGGTGATGACATTACCTTTTCAGATAAGACAGCAAAATTGAAATGTGGCTCATACATATGAGGTGCTATTGATGAAGCCGTCTGCAGAAATACTCTTGCCTAAAACATAGAAACAGTGTTCATATTGGTACAGGTCAAGGCACTCTACACCCCCTTTCCATCTTAGTTTGTCCCATGTAATACTAATGTAATAACTTTTCTTAGACCAAGTCAGATCACTGGTCTATTTAACTATATATACAATATAGAATAATTTAAATACACTTAACTGTTCCTAGGGGATTCTAGGCAGTTTATAAATAGTTAACAACATACAATTATGCAAAATTATATATATTCACACTTAAGCAGTAGAACGTACTCTGAAACTAAGAAATTGTTTTTAGTAAAATCCTGTGCTGGGAAAGGTGCAAACAGAATTGTACCTATTACAAAGCCATTCTTGTGAGTTTTTACCCTACAGCTCTATTCTTATGACAAGTGCTTTATGCAATTCAAGGTGCTGGTGATTTCCTAAAACACTGTACATGGCTGGGTACTTGAGGGAATCACCTTTTTCCAAGTATCTCTACCCATCCAATTAGAGCCAGCAGGATGGGCATGTCAGCCAAAGAATGTTGGCTGATGGGAACTAGAAGACAAGTTTTTTTCAGAGGCAGCTCTTCTGTGGAACATCTTCCCTTTGGAGATTATAATGGCCCCAACTTCGTTAGCCTTCCATAAAATTTTAAAGACCTGGCTGAGTTCCCAAGCCTGGGGCACTACATGAACCAACGGACCTGCCTCCATGCTATATGTTGCTTGCAGATAACCATTTGTCTAGATCTGATTTAGTGCTATGACTGAAATTAAATATGTTATTCTGGAAGGTACAGTTTGTTACCATTTACCTCAACACTAACTACTCTGTATAAAATTCTGAATACAACCAGTGGTTTGGATAAAACAGTGGAAATTTCCTCTAATCTCCAAATTGAAAGATGGTCTGTGCACCTGGTCCAACTGCATGGTTATGAATTATATGAAGATTTGAACTGCGTGCTCACCATCAATTTGGATATGCAATATTCAGTACCAGAAATGTACATGTCTGCTGAACTGCAGAGCAAATTAGTAGGTATGGGATGGGGTGGGGAAATAGTCATTAAACTAAGCTGTAAAGACAGCTTAGAAAATATTTAAAAGGAAAAATGCTACACATATATATACATACTACAGTGCTACACAGACATCACTGTATATGATCTTTATTTATTACAGCAAAGGATTGTGCAGATGTATATTTGATAATTTCCATGGTAACTGCTAGAATACTGAAGCAGTAGGCCTGAAAGAACTTTGATAATTATGAATAGAGCTTTAATTAAAGTATATTTTTGAAACTTAATTTATGCTATCATTCATCTGCTAAACTAAAGCATGCTAGCTGGGAATTCTGGGAATTTATATCCACACGTTTTAAAGTTGCCAAGTTGAGGAGCACTGCAATTAATTTGTTCACATCCAAAGAGCAAATCTTAAACTCTATACTGGTTAAACGTATTCAGAGAAATTCATATATAAAATTCATATATATATATATAAAACAATTACATCAATTTCATTTTTCAACAGTGCTTTTGGCTTGGGCATGGCACCCAATGCTACAAATAAGAGTTTCACGTCTTTCAGGACCGACACTAGGTTTACTTTACAATGCACTCTACATGCAACTCTTTTTCTTGGAGGATCGATTAGGTGTGGCTTTACATCTATCATATTTTTTTTACCAAGTTACAGTGTTTGTAACATAATTGACTCAATAAGGATAGCACAAATGTCTTTCTACTCTATATTATGTTGAGCTGGCCATTCTGGTTTTCCAGAATTTAATCTTCCAAATTGCAAAACATTTGTGGTGTTTCAGCCAAAACAGTTCTATGCCAGACCGATCCCAGAATCAGAAAACATTTCTGATTCAGAGGATAAAGAATTGAAAACACTCATTACGGCTTTATTGGTACAGTCTATAGGAAGAATTGGAACGTTTTGTAAATCTGTTGAATATTCTGCTGCTGCAACACTACGTTTTGTATATATCAAGTTTAAACAAACCTTCTCCTACCTCATTCTGGATTGGTTAAAGGCATTGGCACAGTTGCTTTGCCTACCATTGATGCAACCTACCAGACTTCATTACCATGGTTCTCAATCACTTCAAAGAACATTATTCCTAAAATACATTAGCTATAGAAACGTAAAGACCCACCTTCCTTTAAATTGTATACTAACCTGCTCAATGTGACCTTTTTGCATTTCCAACACAGCCAAGTTATTATAGGCTTCTGCATGGTCGTTGTTGTTAGCCAAAGTCAATTTGAAACATTGATGAGCCAAATTTCTATCACCTATTCCCTGAGAAGCCAAAACACAGAATATGTCCACAGTTTCTATATACCAGGTATTTTTTTCCTTATTCAGATATTATAAATCTGGAAAGGAGATATGGTTATATGTGTCACTCTTGCTTCCTTAGTCCTGAAATGGTTGAATTGGGAGTATCAAAAGAGAGTGTAAAGATGTTCCATATAATAGGAATGTAATTTTGGCAAGATTTGTGACCACATGGGGTTTTTAAAACAACACTTAAGAGTTAGGGCTTCCATTCAAACCTTTTCTGTAAAAAAAAAAGTGGGAATGGAATTAAATTCTTCCATTTTTATTTATTTTTCAAATTTATATTGCTGCCCATTTTACAAAACAAATGATTCCTAATTTTATCATTGTAGAAAACAGTGTTGTACTATCTGGAATTTTTACTGGATTCAGTAGAACTTGTATTAAATTTCTTGAAAGCATAAGAAAAGAGGCAATATCAAGCATTATTTCAGTTTGACAAAATTACCAAATGATCTACCACTTTCTGCCAGAACTCATTTATAGCTATAAGATGCAAACATGCATTTAACTTGGGAAATTAGACCACTAGAACTATTCATGAAGAGGAATATTCTATTCTAATTCCTGTAAGTCTGGAATGAACATATTTCCTTTAGTTGGGGCTGCATTTTGTTTATTTACATCATTTGTAATCCTCATATTTCCTTCCCTTTTGTGGTACTGTCATCATGCCTCTTGGAAAGTTGCAGGGTGTCTTTGAATGAGCAGGGCCAGCATTTTTAGCCCTCTTGGTGAGTTTTGGGGGCTGCAATAAAAAGTCACTAAAACTGCAGGTTATTCGTTCCTGAGAAATATCTTCAAATTTTTACTAATTTTTTGATTAGTAAAGTGAATTCAGCAAATTGTAATAATAATTTTATTAGATCAGTGTTAAAATCTTTATGTTAGCAGTTAGCCTACTTTCATTTTTCAATCTTTCACTTCAATTATCAATACACAGAAATGAGATCTATTTTTACAAGGAAGTTTTCAGAAGTCATCTCAGATTTAACTGAACCAAGACTTCCTCTCAAAGGCTGCTTCTCCATGAGAAGTTTTACCGTTGAAATGTACATGCTGTGAAAGTTTTGTTTGGAAAATCTTCAGGCAGGCTACATCAGTCTTCGTTACAGCAACATACCGTATAAGTACCCTCCACTGAGACTGTTCCTATCTTCTTCAAGAGGAAATAAATGTATTGTGATACACAGCATGCAAAAATATTTCTTCTTGCGTGTGATAGTTGATAAGTAGGTTATATGCCACTAACACTTTCTGGGCTATACTCTATATATTTGTGCATAAATATCCCATCCAAGTATTCTTAACAAGCATTACTCTTACCACAGCTACATGTCCCAAGTTGTACCACACATCTGCAGCTTGTTCCTCATTTTCTGCTAGAGATAGTGCACGTTCAAATGAACTGAGAATCATGTCATATTGCTGGGCATAGAAACAGCAAAGGCCTAGATTGTTAAAGAGTTGGCTATTATAAATGCCCATCTGCAGGAGTCGCCTAGTTCAATATAAAAAGTAAATAAGTCAATTTGTATTTTTGGAGCATCCTTCTTGAAAGTTTCTTGTGCTCATGCAAATTTCAGGGTACATGATCTCTGTATTTCTATACTGAATATAAGAAGAAACCAGGGTGCAATAGTTCTTTTTCCCTCATTTTCAATATGATCAGCATGTTCTCTCCTTCCCCCAAGAATCGAGCCTTGTTGACTAGAACAGAGTTCCCTAACCTGTCTGGCTTTGCAGACGGTGGGAGCGGTGGGGAGAGGGGATGGTTCAGTGTAAGTGGTAGGTGAGTGCGTGTGTATTCCATCCGTGCAAATGGTGGGCACATGCACATGCACATCACCAGTTCCAAAAGGCTCAAGGCTCAGTAGTGGGCTGCAATCCGGTGGTTGGGGACCCCTGGACTAGAACCATCAAATTTAGCCCTCTAAAAAGGCACTCCTACTATAAAGGAAATTGCTGTTCAAAACACTGTGTAGTACCTTAAAGTCCAACCATCATTATGTTAATAATATATTATTTAGACAGCAAATATATACTCTGGACAAGAAAATCTATATATAATTGTTAAAAAGTTAACAGAAAATATATTTGCCACATTCTCAGGATATATTATCAGAAATACATGAAGCATTGTAATAAAACTATATTACGTGTGTGTGTGTTGTGTGTGGGTGTTTCTTTCCCTGTTTCCCACATATTAGGTCTTTTTAGTACATTAATATTTCAAATGCAAGACAATAGTCCGTTAATAGCTTTGTAATTTGATGGGAAAAATCTCTTGGAAAATGAGCACTAAAAATATAGGTGGATGGGTGAATGTTTGAAAACCATTTTTATGTTGTCTTATTAATCAGTTGAGGACACACCACAAATCACTCCATGTGTTCCCAGGGTTATCAACACTGGTGGAAATAATGGAGACCTTGAATTTAGGCTGTTTTAGGCTACCTTGAGACTGTGGAACAGAACTGGTAGATATGTAGAGGCAACTCAAGATTTCCTTCTGCATTTTAAATATTTCTACAAACAGTGCTTTTTCCGGTGAGACCGGTCTATCAAGGCAACCTGGTCTACCCAAATATGGAGCATACTGCTTCCGCTTTCGCCTTTCAACCCCAATCCAGGAGCCTTCACAGGCAGTTGCTTTCGCGACAAACTACTTTTGTGGGAATTTTATATTTCTACAAACACCTATTATGGAAGTCTTAGTACAAAATTAAGCGGTAGTTTCTTTGTAGGTTCCTATCAGGGCTATAATTCTTAAGTTTGACAGACAACCGACTGAGTGTATGATTTAAGATACTTTTCACCTACCCATCCATTTTGTTTTTTATTTTTATTCTATTTAACTATTTGAAAAGATATCTATCATCTATCTATCTATCTATCTATCTATCTATCTATCTATCTATCTATCTATCTATCTATCTATCTATCTATCTATCTAT